TGTCTTATAAGCTCTTTTAATTTTCTCCAGGTTGGGGGAGGCCTTATTGGTGCACTCCTCAACCTATTACCCACTCTCTTGCCAGGTTTGGCAAGGTCTTACAGTTGGAGGGAGCTTCACTTCTGCTCCTATTTACCCACTGCAGACCTCTATTTTAGGGGTAAATTCACCACACTGACTGGAGCCTGCTGAGGTCTTCTGTTTGGGTGAGGGGTTCCTGAGTCTCCCATTGAGCCAGCACGGTAATCTGCTGTAGTCCAAGGTGCTGGAAGAAGTGGTTGGAGCCAAAGATCAACCACAGTACTGCAGAGGGGTACTGCAGAGGGGTACTGCAGGGGGAAGGTAGAGAGGTTCCTAAAGGGGAGGGCCTGCAGTGATGGTCCAGGGTGTTTCAGACATTCCAGATCAAGGAAGAGGCCCACAGTGGTGGTGGTCTTGGGTGTCCCAGGCTTGCTGGGTTGAGGGACAGACCCACAGCATTGGTCTGGGATGTTCTGAATCACCCTTGTATTATTTTCCTATTATTGATTCCTTTATTTCTCCCTCTTTATAATTGCTTGCCTTGCCTGGTGGAGTCATTGTATTGGGGACTCATGGAATTGTTCTTATTGTCTTTTTCCAGAATATCCTTCAGAATTTCTTTCTTTCTTTTTTTTTTTTTGTCTTGCTATGCAGTTCAGGCTCGTCTTGGGCTCACTTTGTAGCTCAGGATGGTCTTGAACTTGCAACGATCCTCCTGCCTTGGCCTCCTGAGTGCTGGGATTACAGGCATGCACCACCATGCCCAGCTCCTTCAGAATGTTTTGTAGTGTTTGCTTGGTGTTCACAAATTTCTTCAGGTGTTCTTTATCATGGAAGTATCTTATTTTTCCATCAATTTTGGCATTATTTCTCTGAACAGTTTTCTATATCCTTTGTGCTATCTTCTGATTTTTCATTAATTTTGATCAATCTTTTGTTATGCTTCTTTGTATCAAGTAGCAGCCTTTGTATTGGCTTTTTGGTAGTCCTTGGCTATTTTTAAGAAGTGTTACATTTGATGATTACTAAAGGAAAACCTGCTTTCTAGATCTGAAAATGTGAATTAGGTTACTTCTGTCTCTATAGACCCTAATACATGCCCAACATTAATAAAATGCTTCTTGAATAAAAATGTGAAACAACAAATGCCCTGTTTAAAGTTCACCCCCTTTCTGCCACCTGCATTCTCATGTGGTTTAAGTCTATATTAACTCTGATAGTTCTCCTAGAATCTGATTGACTTATGAAATGTAAAATATACATGGACAAAATAGTATGTGATATAATTTTCAATTTTTTTTTTTGTCTTTTTTGGTACCAGGGATCGAACTCACGACTGTGACTGCACTCTTGCAAGGCAGGCGCTTATGCCACTGAGCTAAATCCCCAGCCCCATGTGATATAATTTTCAATGGACAAACATTTTTAGGGAAACTACACTGTACTTATGGAGCGAGACTCTTTAAAGGGCAAAATAATTCTGAGGAACAAGTAAATATAAAAACATTTTTATACTTGATCTTAGCCAAAAGGCCAAAAAGCGATTATAAATACATTTTTAAACATCCATCTCTACCACTTTAAAGAATAGTATAAGGTTGAATAATGTTGTCTAGGACTAGAAATTATATGAAATATAAGAGATCGGTATGCAGACATTGGTCTAAGGATGAGTTGTTGATAGAAGACAAATAATGATGCTTGAAATTTTGACTTGAAAAGCAAATAAATCATCCCAATGTATAAGCTTGTAATCAGAACAATGGAGAACTGTGAATAGCTGTCCTTTACTCTCTTCTTGGCAAAACCTTGACCAGTTCATGAGTATGCATGCTAAATGTTGTAACATGAACACAGTTCATATTATCTGGAAGAGTAGACATTTCTATTTCCAATTTATTTACTTTTTTCTTTTTTGCAATGTATTGAGAAAAAAGGGATACACTAAATTAGCCAAAGCTAGGAAAGTATATTGTGCTTCTCTATAGAAAACCTGCCATAGTTACAGTGGTAAGACTATGTAAGTGTACTATTGTATAATACTTTAAAATGTATTTATCTTTTAAAAATATTTATAACATTCTTCTGAATTAACAATTACCTTTATCCATTATTTATAAGCAAGGAGTTATCTTTGGTAAGATAAAATGGCTCATTTGTGAATATATCAAGGTTTTATATGGTGGAGAATCAGCAATAGCAAACTCAAATCTTAATCTTCAAATTTTGTATGCTCCCTATCCAAATGTTTGGCACAACACAAATAAATAAAACTTCTCTATTTCATGATGGTGTTGATGATAATGTATTAAAATAATTCTAATAAAGCTGTTGTTTGTCCCTACTAGAATATAAACTTTCTAGGGACAGATTTGTTTTGTTCATTGCTATTCATTAGTGCCTAGAATAATATAGAACATTATAGGTCCCTATTTAAAATTTCTTTGTACGTCAAAGAATAATACATTTTCAAAGATATTTTTTCATTAGCTGTCACAGCAATTTCCAAGTTTGCAGACTCATTCTCCAAAATTATTTTTATTATTCTATGTTAAGAGCTAAAAGACTACTTTCAAAAAATCATACGGAGAAGTTAAAAATAGAAAATATTAGCTTGTTAAGACTAGTCCCCTACTAAAATCTCAGTGGACCTTGCCTCATGGATGATAAATACTGACTTGAGTAGACTGGCTTCTCTAAATTACTGACAAGAATCCAAAGAAATTCTCGACTGAAGAACACACACATATGTCGAGAATAAACAGACAAACAAAAAATAAATCCACAGAAAAATACTGGAATATGGGGAAAGTTTTGCTTCTTTTCATAAAGAAATATGGTATTAAAGATTCTTTGATGTGAAATTTATTTAAATGTCTTTCTTTCCTCTTGTTTTTCATATATTATAGAAATTCATAAAGTATTTAAGTGACACTTTAAAAATTGAAAAGGATTTTGTTCTGGTGCAGTTAACCAACTCTTGGATTCTGTGGGTTCTTCTCTGAGGGCCCAGTGTTTGGGGAGAAAAAGGAGGACAGGTCAGATACAGCCCTACTCTGCTTCCTGCTGTCAACACGTTTGAAGATGTTCTATTGAAATTATGTCAGAATTTTGTATAATTGAGGGAAGTCTTTGTTTTGATTGGTTTTGACTGCTGAGACAAAATGCGATACTCAAAGGAAGGAAGACCTATTTTATCTCACAGTTAGTAGAGGTTTCAGTTCACAATCAGTTGGCTCCAAGGCAGATATGGCGATGCGGACAGGAGAAAGCATCCAGCCTGCTTTCCTTCTTTCCTTTTCCTGTATATTCCATGCTGACCACAAACCTAATGGTGCCATCCACATCCAGGGTGGGGCTTTCCACCACCCGTACTCAGAACAAAGCAAAAGCTATCAATGGACTAATCCAATTATCACACACTTTTAATCTATAGCCACACACCCTCGGTTGAGGTACCACTGGAAAGCCCCACCTTTGAGTGCATGGGTTTTGGGAGGACACCTGGATCCAGGCCGTAACAGTCTTATTATCTCTTAATCTCTACCCTGAAGCAACATCCTTTCAAAGGTACAATGCAGCCCTTTTCAGGTAGAAGTTGCCTAGTACTAAAAGGTGGACCTTGGAATAAGCCACCAGGGCTCTACTTTGGGAAGTGGAAACAGTTCTGTTACAGAGAGGTATGTGCCATCTCTTCTCTTTGCCTCTCTGCCATGTGAGGATGTGGCAGAAAGGCCCCGCTTGATGTCAGGGTCTTGGTCTTGGACTTCCCAGCCTCCAGAAGTGTGCATCAGTGCGTTTTTTATGTACTGCCCATTCATAGCTATTGGCTGCCCCAAAAGGACTAAAACACCAAGGGAGAATGACAGCCTCCGGGAAAGGGGTGGTGGCCTCTGGAAGTAAATCTAATGGCAGCAAAACATAGGAAAAAGAGGTTAGCTGGGAGAACAGGCTAAATAACATTATAAACCTCAGATGACTCGAAAGACTGGGGCTTAAAAACATAGACTCAGTGACGTTTCAAACAATGGCTTCAATGCTTTAAAAATATTTAAAATATTTTTATGAATCAAATGGTATCACAAATAAGGAATTAAATTATGTTTAAAAGACCAAATTTTAATATTATTTAACAAAGATTCATGAGGTAGAATTTTAACTAAATATTTATTAGAAAGGAAAGCCCTAGTTAACTGGAAAATTCCACTATTTTGAGCAGCAGATCCCTCAGTCATGTCCAATAAAAAGGGTGTTACCTTCTCTTATATATGACCATATTTTATTATGGGAAACTACATTTGCACAAAATTGGTAAAATGAATCCGGCTCAGTGATGCACACCTGTGATTCTTACACTGTGGGAGTCTGAGGCAAGAGAACCACGAGATCAAGCCCAGGCCGGGCAGAGATTTAGTGAGACTTTGTTTCAAAATAAAAAAATAAAAAGGGCTGCACATATGGCTTAGTGCAAATACCCCGGGTTCAATCCCTAGTAGCACAAAAGAAAAAAAAAATCAATAGAATGTCCACAGACAGTTTATTTCACAAAATGTAGTTCAAACTGTGAGATCCTGTAATTTCTCCCTGAAATCTAAATTCTTTTGAATAAATACTTTTAAAATCAGTGTGTTGGGAAGGGGAGATAACAGTGGCACAGTGCCTGCCTGGGAGGTCCTGAGTACCAAAAAAAAAAAAAAAAAAAAAAAAGAATCAGTGTGTTGTACACAGTCTGTTCTTTAAGTTCAATGTAATTTAAAAAATAATTTTATCAAAAAATTGATGCTATCTACCACTTATAAAAGAATACATGTAATATATATAACATGCATATATACATGTAATAAATAATGTATATATTTATATGTGCATACTTGTTCTGTCTTAAAAATAGTGCACATCCCTTTTAGGTACCTGTTACATTGTTTTACTGTCACTGATATTATTTGTGATGGTAATTCACTTATAAATTTGTGATCACATTGATCCTGAATGAAGGTCTGCTTTTTTCTGAAGTTGTTGGTTTCAAGCAGGAGCCTAAACTAGTAGCTTTCGATGATCTTCTGGCCATTTCAGAACCTCAGAGATGTAATGGTCAATTCATTAGAAAGAAACAACCCTGCTCCCAAAGGGCCAGCCACTGTGGGCCTGGAAGAGAGGAAGCCATGCCCTTGCGGAGCCACTGCTATGAGGGGAACATCAGTGAGCAGCTGCCCTGTGCCTCTCTGCCTCCTCGGGAACCTTGTGCTGGAGGAACCCAGGTGCCTAGCTCAATCCCCTGTACTGGGGACTGGCAGCCCATGCAGCAAACACCCAGGACTCAGCACCCACTGATCTGGAGATCATACGAAAATGTCAGGACAAAGGAGCAGGCTTCAGTCTCAATCTCCAGTCCATTCAGTACAAGTCCAGAAGACATAGACACAAAATAAATTTGAAGTTACACATCTGAAATTTCTGAAATGATAGTAACTGAAGTAAAGTGACAGCTTAGTGCTTATACTGTTTAATTTTGCTTGCTTATAACTCACCCAGAACAAGTCCAGGAGACATAGTCATAGAGGAAATTAGAAGCCACATACCTGAAATTTCTGAAGTAATAGTAACTGAAGTAGAGTGACAACTTAGAGCTCATGCTGTTTGATTGACTTTATATGCCTGTATCTGGTGGTTCGTGCATTTATTCGGAGACTCCCAGTGTGTATTACAGTAACTATGGTTGATTTCCTGCTGTCTTGTTTTTTAAATCTAATATCTTTCCTGTTATGTTTTGTTTTATTCTCTTTTTAAAAAAAGTAGAAAAAAAGAAATTTTGATCACAATTCACCAGATAGATATTTTACCCAAAACATGAATGAACATAAGTAATCTGAACTATGTAAGCACATACATGTGTCCACAAATATACACACATACCCTGTGATACCACCTAAAACCCTAGCAAATAAGAGAACGGCCCAGAAATCACAACAGCTATTGGAAATAAAATTGGAAAAAATATTCTTTCAAAAAAAGTGTTTCTTTTACTCTCCTTTTTTAAAAAAAGGAGAAAAACTCGTGCCTCTGTGCATGCCATATGCAGAAACTAAGTCAGAACTCATGACATGCACAAGGGTAGCTGTGCAATAATTTAACGCAATTGGGAGAAGAATTACTTTTTCCACACTTTTTGAAGGAAAATTTCATGAGACAGTGTGCTGGCGAGAAAGAACCCTGCTCCATGACACTTCATTTTTTGTAGCTGGATGGATTAATGCTTGCTTTTTGCAGCTCATGCCCTAGAAATGAAAAATCATGTACTCAATTCATTCTTTGCATAAATGTTATATAAAGGGAATGGAAATTTGCATTAGGGTGTTCACTCCTGTTAAAATATTATGGTCTTGATAACAGGTTAAAAAATACTACAGTGCCATTGGCCTTTCATGCTTAGCTTCTATAAAGCAACTTAATGGATTGTATGTATAAGGTGAGGAGAAATGAAAGTGTAGAATTATGTTAAATTGCACGGGCTGTAAATAGACTACAAAAACTTTATAATTTTTTAGGGCATGACTAAAAAAGACTCACTTGTAAATCTACTTAAGAGTGAAATCTCAAAGAACTAGAGACATCTTCAAATTTTGTCAGCAACACAACTCAACCAAAGACTATTGGAGTACAAAATTCGTGAAAAACAATGAAGGCTAAAAGAACACACAGCCAAAGTCTGAGAGTCTACACAAAATTCTGGACAGATACAAAGCCAGCCCTCGTCTTACAGGGTCAAGAGAAAATAGCTTTTGACTAAGCAAGGCAAAGAGGCAGACCTGGATGTTCATATGTAAAAAAGAACGGTTTCTGGCTTTTTAAAAGTCCCTGCACCATGTTTGAGGTCTAGGCCTGACTTCAAGGCGCTTTGGGGAAAGTACAGATTATTTCTGTTATATTCATCTTCAGTACAAGGCGGAGGTTTAACTGGGCCAGGAGAAGGTGCGGCAAAGGTTTTAGGTGTCTCTAACCTGTGGAGGCTCCAGCAGGGAGGTTTTCCTGATCCATCGTAAGTCCTTTGTGGAAACAGTGTTTGAAAATATCAAATAAAATTAAAATAATCGTGTGTGATAGAGCAGTTTACATGTGAGAGATCATTAATTTTTACTGTTAGAAGCATTTTGAAGGTTGAAATGAATCAGAAAAGATAGAAAACGTTTCCACCATTATGAGTAAGAACAGCAATCTCAATTCATGGGCCAGTTTCTTTAGAATATTTGATCTCATCAAGGCTTTGTCCTTAAAGTTTTTTTTGGGGGTACTGGGACTTGAACTCAGGATCTTGCACTTGCCAGGCAAACATTTTGCCCCTGAGCTAAAGCCCCGGTCCCTCTTAAATAATTTTTTGTGTAATAATTTCACCTACCCACCTAAAAATTCTTACTTACTGGCTATCCAAAACAAAACTTTGGTAAGGTAGAGATTTAGCTCAGCAGCATAAGCACCTGCCTGGCAAGCACAAGGTCATGAGTTTGACACCTGGTGCAATAAACAAACAAACAAACAAACAAAAAACAAAAACAAAAACTTTGGTAAAGAAAGTGGTCCGACTTCTCCAATCTGCAGAGCACACACTCAATTCCTTCTCTGTCTACAAACTTCCCAGACTTCAGAGGGTCCCTCCCATGGAGCAGACCACTGGGGTTATTCAGTGAATGCACAGCACAGGGCAGAAGCCTGAATTTCCACCCACCATGGTCTCCTAGGCTGCTTCTGGGAGCTCACCGAGTTAGACTGAATGCAGTGCTCAGAGGAAGGAATTGTTTGTGGTGATAACGAAGCAAAAGAGAAACACTTGAAGGTTTAATTGAAAGTAATTATGGCATTGGACTCCTGCCAGTGGGGAATTTGCAGAAAGTCCATCTCTTGCAAGAAAGTAAACCCCCACATAGTTGTGGGAAGAAAATGTTTCTTAAGAAAACACCAAAAACTAGGTAATTGTTTAAGTAGTTTTCCCCCTCATGAGTAAGATCTTTGTATTTTCCAGAACTTTCTTAAACCATAATGTAGAGAAATAATAAAATGCAAAAAAATGTAATAAAACTAAAAAATGGGTTTTTGTCTTAAAAGTCTTAGCCATTTACATGGTTCCATGGGCCTTTGACCTGAAGAAAGTCACAGCGATACAAGAAAAGCCTGAGGGACATGAAGCATGTTCTGATTTTGCTTTCTGTTCTGTTTCTGTTGCCTTTCTTGGGAATTCAGGGAGTCAGACAGAGAAACTGAACACTGCAGCTCTGTGGATCACGGCGGGTCCCTGTTCGCTGACCCAGCAGGGGAGCAGGAAAGCCACGTTGGGCTGTGTGGGTCACTAACACGTTAGTCAGAGAAGGGAAGGGACACTTGAGCTAACTGAGAAACCTTTGTCAAAAAGTAAAAGCCTCTTGTGCGCGTTGGGCATATAAAGATGCCCAAAGGCGAGTTAAAGTCTAGTAACTATTGTCAAATACATCATTAGAAAGAATTCGAGTCTTTGGAGACCAAGGTTAGATGGCTTTGTTCTGGCTGGCGCAGTGGATTTGTGGTTGGTGTTGTTTATTTGTGATGGTGTCGCTGTTTTGGTTTGTGAATGCCTTTAAGAGGTTCTGTGTTCTCCAGCTGGCCTTTGTCCCCACTGCTCCACATGTACTCAGAATCCCGTGTTTATCTGCATAAATCTTTAGTAATTTTAGAGGAAACCTGTTGTTAGATAATAATAACAAAGCCATCTTTTTATGAATGCCTCCATATGCCAGTCACTTAATGTCATAAACTTTACAGAAATTTGTAAAGCTATTATTATTTCATTTTAAAACACTAGGAACCTACTGAGTATTAGCGCTGAAATTTGAAACCAGGTAAATTGTGTTCTAGTAACTATTTCTGATGTCTCAAATTTCCTGTGAATTGGAAGAAACATTATACTCTATGCCGACTGCGTATGCACCTCTTCAAACAATAAGGAGATAAGACATCTACAGTTTGTTAAATTTCCTTGTAAAACAGCGCAAGATCCCGAGACACCGCAACCAGGAGTCATAGCAGAAAGAATGAGGCATTTATTCTGCGTAAGATCAACAACTGAAAAAAAAAAAAAGACTTTTCTGTCTGATAGTATTGCCCTAGGGCCCCAAATGGCCAACTTCTGTCATAATTCATTTGGCAGGTCTGTCAAAGACAGCTCACTCATTTGGTTTAACAAAATATTTTTTAACAGCCAGGATACATATTTGATTTGGGTCCTGGGACAAATGGCTCTCCAAAGGCTTCCTGGCAGGTTGATGACGCGATGCATCAACTGGATGTATCAGGACTGAATAGGACTGAGGTGTGGGGTGTGTGTAAGAAGCTCACATGCATTCTCAGATAGCAGGGTGGATAACAAATTCCATTGCCTGCAACTGAATTATATTTAGAATATGCGATACATTTGTCTTTCTGCTTTAACAGCTCAAAGTTGTCTTTTTTCCTAATATAATAAAGTTGTTGTCTTTTTCCTAGTAGAATAAGCTAAACTTGAAATGTGGGTCATTTATCTTTGGCTTAGTTTAAATGACATATATTCAATTATGGTGTAATACATAATAGCTTGTAATTTAACCATGAAATTATAGCCGTCTTGTCCAGAATCATGGAGAGTAGACATGTTCCATTTAAGTGCATTTCTTGAATACATGATTTTAAGCTACTCAACGTCAACATCAACATATAACTTCCTAATGACTCAAGCTTTTGTATTGTTAGCACCTTCATTCGGTAAAAAAGCACTAAAGAAAGGCATGTATTTGCCTCTGGACCCACACACTTTAGAGACACAAGATGTTTCTTTTGCCTTTTTTTCTTTTCTTTTTTTTTTTTTTTTGCCTTGTCTTCTTGTCACTGATTATGATTTCTTCTTTTTTGTTCACTCTGATTTTTTTATTTGTTTAAAGAAAGACAAAACAAGATAGAAAAGGGCAGAAATATTACATACCTTCAAAGAAAAGAAATAGTAATAAATCACTAGCTGATGTATACATATTGTCCCCCCACAAATAATTGTTCAAGATACAAAAGTGGAATATATAAATGGGATTTCAACCTGGGAGACTGCAAACAGTACTGTTCAAC